TACGTGTGGAGTCCAAAAAAAAAAAAAAATCACGAAAGTTTTTTAGGAGAAAGCGATCGAAAACCTGACAAAATAAGAAGCTGGAATTTCATGGGATCCTTCTGCATCCTTCCTTACGTGAGCTGAAGATTTCAAATTCAGCATTAAAGCACGTCCACGTACGAATATAGCTGAGTGTGATTTCGTCATCGTTAGCAAAGTGACAATTCGGGATAGAAGCTGTTTGGAGCGCTATAACTTTACGAAAATATTTGTCGGCTATACGCGTGGCTTGCACCTGTGTAGCGTATTTGGACATGTGAAAATTATTTGCAACGAAAAGCGATTTAGTCAACAGTTTAAACGAGAAAGCTGAAATTTTTCAAAGATATTCAACACCTCTGTGCAATTCAGATGTTTCAAATTCAGCTTTAAAGCACGTTTAGGTCTCGTGAGCACAAAGGCGAAAGTTTAACTTGGGACATTGTTGGTACCAAATTAACTCAGTAGCCCAGTTAAGCAAGTTGAAATACTTTCCTTCCAGGAAGTGTGCTGTTCATTTTCGGAACTTGTCAAAAAGGGCTTTTGGTTACGCGTGTGGGCTGCGTACAGATATATCATAAAAGCTAAATTTGAATTTGTACAGTTGCGTATCCACAGAAAGTATTTAACGAGAAATTCTCTGGCCTAGGATTTAACATATCCACACATGACGTATGCGAAAATTAGAATTCAGTTTCCGGAGTCGCACACGAGATCCATCCTTCCAAAATTTCACCTTTTTGTTCTCGAGTTGGCGTCTTGTATGGTTCGTGAATTGGTGGTTTTACCACCTGACCATACACGAAAGCTAGCCTGTGGGAAGTGAATTTAAATATGCTGAAACGCACATTGGTACGGATTATTCAGTCAAAATTCGGGCTTCCTGATTATGCGTATTTCCATACATGCGAGTGCAAAAATGTATACTGTGACGACCTGGTGTGTGTGTGTCTGTGTGTATCTGTGTGTACGTGCGTTCGGGTTTGAACTCGGCAACCAAGCAAGCTCTAGCGCCAAAGTTTTGCCAGTGGGTTTACCGCTGTGCCAACCCTCACGACGTCTAGGCCCGGCGTGCAAGAGCGTGGGAGTTTTGGCAAGAAAATTGCTAACTTGGAGACCAGAAAAGCTAGAAAGCCGAAATTTTGCGGTTTTGTTCCCCGTCTACATAGAACTCAAAGATTTCAAATTCAGTCCCCAGGTACGCGTGGTTCTCACGTACGGCTCTGCGAAGGTCTCTGGCGGGAAAATTGCTAACTTGGGAACCAGAAAAGCAGGGAGATTGAAATTTTAAGATGTTCCCAGCCCACACGCACTTTAATATTTCAAATTCAGCCTCCAGTTACGCGTGGTTTTCATGTACAGCTCCGTGGAAGTTTTTGGAGGGAAAATGGCTTACTTGAAAACCAGGAGAGCTGGGAGGCTGAAATTTTAATGAGTCTTCCTTGACCAAGTACTGTGTAGTTGCACAATTAAGTTTTTAACTTCGAAGATCAGTATGCCATAAATTTTAGCTAGTAGGACTCCAAGCGATCTTATAACAGCACGAAATACTGCAAAAACGTACAATCGCAAGGGCCTGCCGGTGCGCGTCGCCAGTGATTCTTTTAA